TATAATGAATAGCACTTGCCCTTATCGAGGGCATGTGCCCCAAGATGGAGAGAGTGACGTACAGCAAAGAATGGTCTTGTTTTTACAACGCTCCTTTACGTTGACATTGGTGGGCTGACGTCGCACACCATACGCTCTTCATCAAAACTTTGTTAAATGCTAGCTATATCTAGAAAAACAGATGAAACGTTGCCTGTCTCCTGATTATATTTGCATGCATTTTAAACGGTACCTCATTAAGAACGTAGCACGTGACAATACTCTACTTGGCATGTGCAATTTGTGTGTTCTGTTGTGTAGCATGAATGAGGAGTAGTTTGGTTTGGGTTAGCTGCTTCGTATCATTTTGAAAGCGAAGCGCAAAGACAAAGGGAAAATAAAGACGGCACTCTTTGTCTCTATGTCTTTCTTTTCCCTGTCTTTGCACTGCCCTTTCAAAACCAGTTTAATGAATGAAAGCTGAGAAAAATAATAAAACACGCGAACGGAATCTCAACTTGTTATTTTTTATTTCTGTTTTGAATAGCCTCGAGATGCTCTTCACTAATCAACCCTCGTTTCGCATCTGCCTCGGTGGACCAGTCACTATAGGGTGCTCCGCTGCTGACCCGAACGCCACGGGTTCGATCGTGGCCGTGGCGGTCACATCCAGATGGAGGCGAAAAAGTAGATGGCTGCGTGCAGTTGCACAGTGTCAGTGCACATTAAACACCAGACGGCCAAAATTTGCGGAGACCTCCACTACGGTGCCCCTCATATTCATATTGTGGATTTTTACGTAAAACCACACATACTACTACTACTACTACTACTACTACTACTACTACTACTACTACGACCCAATATCGCTTGCGTTTGTCTTCTTGTCGTTCTCGAGCCTTCGCCAACTCTGACAACGCTTAGCTTGTGTTTGGTGCCTCGTCTCTGACCGCAGTTTCAGAGGAGTGACATGTTGTATCGCGGTCACAAAACGTGATGCTTGCCAGCCTCTCCTAAAGTACACACACTGACTGAGCCATCCCACAGAAGCGGGTAACAGAGAGGGCCGAAACGACACATCGATGGCGTACACGCACGAGTAAGCTGGGGCACGTCGAGCGTGCATGACCTTGCTTACGCATGTTCTTCTTCGTGCGTATGCGTCATGTGATTTTCCAGTCCCGATACCAAAGAGAACAGGGAAGGAATGAGGCTCGCGATGGCTTCATGGAACGAGAGGCAGAGAATTCAAGCTTGCTTCTTCGCATCAAGCTTTGGTGGCTTGTAGCGAACCAATTTGAAAAATGACTGTCGTAGAATGCTTTTCATTGGGCACGCGAGAACTTCTAGTGTCTAACTACGACTTATTATGTGACCTAGAGAGGGACGCCTAAAAAGTAAATTACAAGCAAAACAAAAGCCGTGTGCATATATCATTTTTTACCCGAAGGCGCTGCAGCAGATGGGTTACAATGTCAAAGAAAACACGCCTTCATTGACACAACACACTTTGTTCTCTTCATAAGCCATTTCATTCTGTCATGAAACTAACAAAAAACAAATAATTAGAAAAATTATATCTGATATGACAATCTTAATTACCATTGCACAAAGAGGACTGTTTAGGTACATTCATTTTCAAAAGCGAGTTTTACCATGAAATGCTTGACATAGGAGCTTTAACCGCAGTTTAATTCGACGCAATAATAGTAATTCCCATCCTAGTTCATTTTTCATATTGTTACAGCTGTCATTTCTGAGCAATGGCTTAGAACAAACCTTGAATCCCTGTTCTGTATTTTTTCATGTTCGTCACTTGAAGACATATCACAAGGGATCTCATATGGAACAAGCATACTCAAGCATACGGTAAATGTATGCCAAATACACCGTTGATTGTAAACATGCCGGCGCCTGCCTCAGGCTTTGCTGTATAAAGTATAACAATTTGGCGACCTTCGCCACCACTGAATCAACAAGAGCATTCCATGAGTGGCCCTCCATGATTTTTCATTCGTTCTCCAGCTACCTGTGGCTGCCCCGAAAAACCTGCTCTTCCTTTCCCACAGCAACACCCTAGTTTTCAGGATGGTTCTTCGTTTCCTTCAGGGCAATGGACAGCTGTCTGTAGAAGGCGGTCGCCGCGTCTTCGGCCATAGATGTCACTTTTATTTTCGTACCCCATCTTTCTCTCCTTCTTCCCCTGCAGACAGTGAGACATGCTTCCACTTAAGGCTGCAGAAATAACATCTTTAGCACTTCTCATGCTCCACTTCCAATCGCTCGCAGCATGTCAGCTTAGTCTCCGTTGAACCTTACAGTGTTAAGAAATATCAATGTTGCCTTTTTTTAGATGAATAAAGGTTTCATAGCACGCTCGAACACACAGTTTAGGCTTCAATGGAGCTGATATAGGCACTCATTTAGAAAATCGGCATTTATATGCACTTAGAGGCATTTAGGCACGAACACCCAAAACAGGCATTTATAGGCACTACAAAACACCATAAAAGCGCTTCGTAACCTCTAATTCATGCTCATATATCAAAATGGCACGATAGGAACGCAAGGAACAGAATAGGCATTTGGCTATAATCCGGTCTCTACTGATGAGACAGCGCTGTTCTATAAGGCTCTGCCTGACAATACAATCGCGTTTAAGGAGACCCATGTGTCACAGGTCCCGTTAATTAGGGAGGCGATCGCCGGGCTAATTCCAAGGGCCGAAGTATCGGCCCCCCGAACCGCACCACGAAAGCGTGGACAATTTAGAAGTGGTCCTTTTTGGCACGCCAGCGGACGCCGGCTGTGGCCCAAAGAACAAGTCAGAGCCGAGAGTTGATAAACAAAACAAAAATTATATTCTCAAAAATGGCAAATCAAAACAATACACAAGTATGCACACTCCACAATAGTTGAGTAGAATATGTCACCAGTCAAACAACGTACTACACAGTACAATCAGCCTCACTCGAAACAACGGACACAGACAACAATACGCACTACAATGCAGTCGCATGCATTGAACAACCAAGACACTTAAAGACTAAAGAGATAGAAAACCTATTCAGTCCAAAGTTCTTGGAACAAAAGTCTGGATGATACTCTTCCGAGAATCACTCACTCAAAGTTCAGCGTTGTTGTCGTTCCGCTACCCCTGAAGTTTCTCTTCCAGGAAACCTCGCGTCTTCAATTGGCCACTCTCCAAGCTTCAAACTTCTTCGCCGGAAACACGTCGGCTTCACACACGCAGCTGTTGCCACGCGTCTTCGCTCGATAGCGGTAAACACACACTCTTGCCTGTAGCTCGAGTCGTCACCCCTCAGGTGGAAATCATCTTCTTCACCTGCTTTGTCTCTACGTACAAAACCTTCGCCGACTACACGGCGGAATCCCTACGCGCTCTGGCGCTAACTTCCGTCTTCTCCTGATCTCTCGTCTCGGCTGCTCGATTAAATACCTTCTGCGCGAGATTCCAGAAAGTTCTCATCATTTCGTCGGCGCGATGCGCAGCGAAGGCGGGGGGAAAGTGCGAGACGGTGCGAGGGCCGTCCCCGACGGGTGACTCAACCCGGCACCACCACGCCTCTTTCCTTCTAGAAATTTCGAGTGCTTGCTCGGCCGCCGATGTGGGGTGAGGAGGTTCGTCAGCGAAGCCACGCTTCCGAGAGGAGAGGGAGCGTGCCCGGGGAGCTTGTTTTCTTTTTTTCTCTTTTTCTTTTGACCTCGCGGCGTCACTCCGGCGTTTCGTCGCGGGAATTTGGTGGCGCGCCCTTTTTGAGCGCTCGTTCTGTGACACCATGCTTCGGTGGAAAACGAAGAGCGCGTGACTGTTCTTGTGGCTGCTAACATGACCAGCACAGAGCGACTGCCGCTGCTGGTGATCGGAAAAGGTGCGAAACCAAGATGTTTCAAGAATGTTAAGCAGCTGCCTGTCGACTACCGGTTCAACAGAAAGGCTTGGATGACTGCTGAACTCTTTCAAGCCTGGCTGCCCCAGCTCGACCGCCGCTTTGTGGCCAAGGCTTGGAAAGTGTTGTTCGTGCTACACAACTGTAGTGCGCACACGAAACTGTCCGAGCTCGAGAACATTGAGCCGCTATTCCTGCCTCCGAACACAACAGCTTCCCTGCAGCCGATGGACCAGGAAATCATACAGTTCGTGAAAAGCCGCTATCGACGGCAGGTACTCGAGCGGATGTTGCTCTAGATGGAGTCAGGCAAGCAGTACAAAGTAAGCTTGCTAAGCGCAATTCACACGCAGACATACGTGTCGAACAACACACCGCCTGCAGTAGTTGCAAACTGCTTTAGGCATAGCGGCTTCGTGCACGACGCTGCTGATCCGGGTGTGGTGGCCAATGAGGAAACCGGCCGCTATGTGAGCATCATGCCAGCTGATGTGCCCCTGGGCGACTACTTCACAATTGACAGCGATGTTGCCTTGGCCGGCACAGTGACCGACAGCGATATCGTCGCTGAAGTCTTGGGGGGGAAAGGGGAATCTGCTGACGAGGACCTAAGTGATGCTGATGAGCATCCACACCACACAATGACGGAGGCTGCGCATGCGTTGGCCATTTTGGAGGACATATACACGCTTTCCTCAGACAGTGTGCACGAACTAAGCCACCTGCAGGAACTTCGCGAAATTGTAACTTTGTTGCACATTGTGTCCGTGAAGCAAACCACGATCACAGACTTTTTAAGTTGAGAAATAATGGTCTGATGGTGTAGGAGACATTTTTCAAGTGTTTTACTCGTACTCGCGATAATTCGTACCTTCGGTTATTTTGCACATTCTCTCCGGTTCTGTGAAGTCTGAGTTAATGGGGTTTTACTGTATTATCTCAATTAGACGAGCCACACTCATCCAGAACGGTTCGAGCACAATTTAGCAAGGACTAGCTGTGCTCGTTCAAAAATGTTAAGGAGTCCAAGTACTTCTAGTCAAAGCATTGATGTAAAGCTGCAAAGCACAAGGACTCAATGAGTAAGCAAGTAACGGCAGCAATACTCACATGGATGTGCGCTTGCCTGACGACTCCAAGATGTGTGATGACTGCTGCAGCAGCTCTTGCTTGGCAATGAACTCAGGTGAGCGCAAGTACTGCTCAATGCTCTGCAACTGTGAGTCCGCAAACTGGGCCAACCTCAGATGGGCGGCCCACAGTGCTTCCTCTGCACGGCCCGACAGCACATGCACAGCCTGTCAGGGACAGAGAAGGGTGTCTCAGCAGGTAGGCAACCAAAGAATAAACTTCTATAGACTGTCACTACTACTGATGCTCAATGCATGTCATTGATTTTCATAAGATCAAAGACTTGTTGGAAAGTGTAAAAAGTGATGCTGCGTTGGTCACTGCTACCCCCAGTACAGGAAACACCAAAATCCCTGTGTCGTGCCATCTTTACTTTCATTCAGTGAGTAGAGATAGCTGAACTTTCAGCTAGACATGCAGTTGCTGCCAAAGTTAGGTGATGTTTTACACATGGCACACAGAACACTTCCAACTGCTGTAGAATTGAACATTCCCACTTGTTACTAATTCTATAGTAACAGGATTCTGTCTGTAACAAGATTTCATGTGAAATGTGAATGGTAATGTATATTATAAAATATATATCAGCATAAGCAGTTATGCTGGTACATTTGATGTATTACGTAAATAGCACATAGGTCCGACTTGTAGATCATGTTTTGATGACCACCAGCTGTGCTTAATGCTATGTTGTGCTTTGAGTGTTGTTGGCGTTCCTGAGCCCAAGTTTGCCCATATAACCATATAAACGGTAATGGCCACTTGATCATTGAAAGTCAGCTAAAGGTTAGTGCTTTTGAGTGATTTTTCATTCTATGAGGCCTTCAAATGTGTCCTCGTGGCAGAAGTTTTTTCTTTAGCTTTTATCAACAGCTATGTCAATGCACATCCAATGTCACAGCAAACGCTCTCCTTTGCGCAGTGCCAGCTTCAAGTCCATTGAAATAAGCTCACCTTGTCAAAATACTCCTTTGCAATGGTGTCGGAGCTCTCCAAGCGAGACCCGGCCAAACATTCTCCATATAGCTGCAGCACCTCGGCATATGCCCTTGTGACGCCGTCTGTGTTGTTCACCTGCCAAAAGCGTTCCTTGCATACTGTAGTATCATGAAAGACAGAGCAGCAAGTTGGAAATGCCTGCTTCTGCATCACGTCACCCTCAGCCATGGTTATTCTAGATGGAGGGATACACAGGTGCACACATGTGCCATTTTTCCTACCTTTCCATATTTGTTTTCTATATCAAGCAACATGCATGCATAAAAATAAACTGTAGTGAGGCACTACGTTACAAATGTGCATTTTCAGTTTTGCACACAACTACTTGCTACTTCAAATGTGCAAATACAAACAGGATCCACAATATGATAACCCCAAGACGCAATTTATGTTACGAGATTGCCAATTTTACCACATTTCTTGTTATGCGGTTTAATCCTAAATGGCAAACGTCATGTGCAGTGGCCGCCTCGTTCAAGTAGATGAGAAATGACGAGAAAACAGGTTTATATAAAACAAGATTATATGAAAAGTAAGATCCAATTTACGTCGGTTTTCAATATAGGACTGAAAATTAGTATTCAGAAGCTGCACTACGTCTCAATATATATGAAATGAGCAACACAGATCTGGCTTTCTATATTTCTTACTGAACCAACTAGTGTACTGAATGTCGTGTGACAAACATAAGTCCACACGAGCAAGTTCTCATGGCATAGACAGTACCACATAAATTCTACAGCACTTCCGATTTGTTTCTGTGTTGTCAAGTTTTGACACTCACTGTAAGGCATAACTTCACTCGGATGGTACGCTTATTGTTTTCTTTCTACTACTACAACAACATATTACAACACACACTACTACAGTTGAACCTGCTTATAACAAAACTCCACATAACAAAATCATCGATATAATGAAGTTTTTCTGTTCCCCGTCGTTACTCGATAGAAGCACATGTATTTGCGACCTCTGTGTAACAAAGTGACGGGAGGAGACAACTTTGGTATAACAAATTTTCGCCTCGAACAGTCTAAGACTTTTGCTCCGGATTTTGTCATTTTGGCCCAAGCATGCATCTTCCATGCTTGCCCCACTGCCGACGAAGCGTGAAGCGGCGGCAGCACGCTCGCGGTTTCGGTGACTCCCAGGCAATAGCAAGTGCTCATTACTGCACGCGGGTGTGCGCGAGGCGGGCAGGCGGGCCTGCGCCCCATGAACCGGCACTGTCGCCATTCTTGCCGCCACGGGTGCATGCGCTGTGTCCTTTCCCTCCAAACAAACAACGAACAAACAGAAAATTCTACTTTTGCGTTGGCAGTGCCATGCTTCTAGTTGGCGTCACATATGTGGGGCCGCGCTAGATATGGAGAGCGCTTAACTGAATAGTTTTCCGTGGTATACATGTCGTTCGCTCTTAGTTTTTGAAGCCATGCGCGCATGAATGGTTTTGCTGTGTGCACATGGTATGGCCGCCGATGGCCTCGCTTTTTTTTTCGTATGTACTTTCAACTTCACTTTTTTTTTAATGCAAACAACTGTATCGTCACTAGGAAGCTTTCAAAAAGCGTACCGCAAGCTTTTGCGTTGCGCATGCATTATAATGCTAACCGCTGTTCACCTTTGCAGTCCGCCTGAAAAAAAAATCCGAAACCGCCTGTGGCCCGCAAAATCCCTTTGTGGTGAGTGAGCGTGCATTAGCATCTGCGGGGCCAAACACTATTTGAAAACTCTTATGGCACCCACACGCAAACGCTACACCCGCTAACTTAAAAAACGCTATTATAAAACTTCCTACTACCGAGGGAATGTCAGATTAGGCGCTGACAGAAACTATGCAAGACTACGGTGACAATGACAAATCTTCGGAGGTCAACTCGTTGCGCATTTATGTTTGCGTCACAAGTTCGAGGGACCGAAGCCTTAGCGATTAGCCGATTAGCTCTGGCAACAATACGACGGGGCGTTGAATGAAATGTAATGAATGCGAGAGCAACAAATTGTAATGTTATACGAAGTATGTCTGACAGCCAACTCTTTTGGATTCGATGGAACTCCTACAAAACGCTGGTGTAAGCAAATACAGCCGCTCCAGAGAGAAGTGCTCTCTTCACACAGTTTATTCGTGTTGAAAGAGCATTAATGCTTGTCGAGATAGCACGCACACCAGCGATCGCGACAGGCCCCTTAAAATCAAAGTTTACCGTTGCCAATTGAGCGACCCCTTTGCCCCTTCTCCGCGTTTTTTCAAGCTCGTTCAATAAGGGTGGCTTCCTTCCTGCTTGAGCATTCGACAGCAGTTCTAACATGCAGTAGGATGTTATCATACGCACCCTCCTGGTAATAGAGATGGTCTGGTTCATTTGATCTCTGCTACAGCCGCGCTCACGTGCTATTACTTTCTCGTAAAAGTTATGATGCGCAGGGGTATGTCATCAATTTTAAGTTCTTACAGAAAACGATGGTGAAGGCAAAAGGCCGCAAAGATTGTGCATATAATTGCTATCGCAATAATGGTGCATTGTTTTACCGCTAAATAAGTGTTTTGGGTTAGCTTTGGCTTCAGTTCCCCTTTTGTTTAATTTGTGCATTTATTTTTCGAATTTTTGTACTGAACCTGCATATAACGAAATCCTCTGTATAACGAAATTTTTCAGAAATTTGTCAAATTTGTTATATCCAAGTTTAACTGTATTCATGCAATAAATGCCTGTGATTAGGCTGATGATCAGGGATGGACAAGCTCATGTCAACTACAGAAAAATTGCTGTAAACCGCAAGAGTTGCACTATGAAAGCAAACCCCATTGAGAGGCTCCTGCCTTGCAGCCAGTGGAGATGGAATACCTCATGCTGTTGGCTCAGCTGCCTCAGCAGGGTCCACAATGTGTGCTGGGCTTGGGTGCAGTCGCCCTGTGCCAGCTGGATTCGAGCCTCCTCCAACAGCCACCGACTTGCCTCACCAGGGGCACAGCACTCCAGCTGCCGGAGGGCTACACGTGCCAGCTGCAAGGTCACAGCTTTCACTAAATTTAGCTGACTGGCTTGTACCTCAACATCATCATCAGTCTGACTACATCCCCTGCAGGGCAAGGTACCCTCCCATGTTTCGCAAATTAACCCAGTGCTTACTGCAGCCATGTTGTCACCACAGACTTCGTAAGCTTTTGCACTCTGTTCTCGGCACCTGCCTGGCAAAGCAACATGGCTGCAGCGATCCGCAGTCAGGCACCGCTAAACAAGTTTTTTTGCAGCCGATTCACACACGTGTTGTCTTACTACATTATGTGCCATCTGTAAAAAAGTAAGCAAACTTCTTTTACTTGCGCTTTGAGTTGTTTAATTACGGACCAGAACAGACGGATGATGAAAAAATAAAAAGTTTCAGACTGCAAACGATCAATTTCATATGCCCACCTAACTCTCTGCCTCCCTCTGGAGCACTTTTTTTTTTTTTGGCAATCCAGTCTGTTACTATTATTGGCCAGCGGTTAGCGTGCCTCAAGCCATGTGTCCTATTGATGCAGATTTCTTCTTGGTTTTGACCAAGATGTTCCAACACGTGTTTATTGTTCTAACAATGTGCATATACAAGCAGGCGACTTTGAGATTCAGATTTGAAATACTGAGGAGTAGAAGTGGCATAAAAAAAAAACTGGCATATAGTTTCTTTTTTTAGTGCTTCAGAACTGTTCTCCACTGCTCCGAATTAATTGCCAGAAACTATTTAGATGTCAGCCATCGCATTAGCACTTGCAATTACGTGACACATACATGCATGAGTAATTGAACAAAATGTGGCGTGCCCCGTGACTAGTGCTAAAAGCCTTTACTTAAATCTCAATACGCTTTTCCGCAGGGCAGTAGTGTACTGTGGCAAAGATGGCTTAAGCAGCAATTTGCACAAGTTAGAAGCATGGAAACTTGGGCGTGTTGCTAGGACATGACTGAATGTACGAACAGCACAACTTAGTAGTACTCACAGCGTAAGTGCAGAAGCAAGAAACAAGGACTGGAAAGAGCGCTGACTTTCAACCATGATTTATTAGTGGAGTGGAGTACACATATAGGTGAAAAAATGGGGATGCATAAAAGGGTGCAGTTAACCACTGCGACACATTGTCAGCAAAACTCTTGTCATTAATTCATTAAGCTGGAAATCGGTACAAGCTTAAGCTGTGCACCGGTTTTTAACTTGATCAACAAGTGACAAGAGTTGACATGATATGACATGTGGGGTTTAACGTCCCAAAACCACCATATGATTATGAGACGCCGTAGTGAAGGGCTCCAAAAATTTTGACCCCCTGGTGTTCTTTAACATGCACCCAAACCTGGGCACACGGGCCTACAACATTTCCACCTCCATAGGAAATGCAGTCGCCGCAGCCGGGATTCGATCCTGCGACCTGCGGGTCAGCAGTTGAGTACCTTAGCTACTAGACCACGCGGCAGGGCAAGTGATGAGTTTTGCTGACGATGTATTGCAGTGATGGTTAATTGCACCCTTTTACGCATCCCCATTTTTCCACCTATATATGTACACCACTGCACTATTAAACCATTCTTGAAAGTCGGCACTCTTTCCTGTCCTTGTTTCTTGCTGCTGCAGTTACGCTGTAACTAATACTAGGTTGTGCTGTTCGTATATTCAGGCACAGGTTAGACCCAGGCCGAGAAATTTTTGAACCACTAGATCCCCCACCCCCTTTTTCTATTCGCGCACGATGGGGTTAAGTTTAGGACAGAACTTCATGGCTCTCTTGCAAGGTAAGTCGACCGGATAAAGTCACAACAGAGCTTGGCCTGGCATCGGCAAAGGATATCTATCGGCAAGACGATGCAGCTTCAAGTCAGAAAATAGTTTTATGTGCCGTTGCTATGGCAACCAATGTGGTTGCTGGCAGCGCTAGCATTCGCAGCATGTCGAATTTGTTCATGCGTGGAAAACGAGGCATACACTTCCAACTTTACTTCCTAACACACTATAACTGCGTTCGTTGACAAGGAAATTCATATTTCCTGCAAAGCATTGGTGGCTACAGCAACACATTTCTATCACGAGGTTGCTTGGTCCCACTGATAGGTATTCACTGAGGTCAGTGGACCAATGGGTGACTGGCATTGTTACTTTGCCGGGTCGATCACGTCTAGCGATTATCCAGAACTAATGAATATATATATCTTACACCATGGTTTGGGATTACGACCTGCGTGCTTGGATTGATTGATGATGCTTAACTGCAGGTGACCAACATGGCCGCCATTGCTTGCTAACTTAGCGCAACTAAGATAATGTTGAGGATGGTCGCGCATTTTGGTACAGTGTGGTGCAATTTCTGTAACTTTCATTGTTTTGGTGCAGCTGTTGTGCCCATGAGCATATTGAAAATCTGAAGGGGCCACTGTAAATTAGACATTGTCTGTGTAGGTTTTTAGGAAGTTCGAATAGTAAAATTGCAGAGCGAATTCAATAGCGAACACTGTTTCAAAAATATTGAAAATTTCGAATACTTGCACATCCCTACAAAAAAGCTTTATAGAAACAGATATTTATTGTACTTTCTCAGTCTTAAAAGTATTTTTAAGTAAAAAAATTGTAAACCAAATATGAAGGGGAGCTGAAAAATCGCTTCAATTATTTTGTGAAATGAAAATATGAATGAAAGCATGTGACAAGCGACAGCGAAATTCTGAAAGTGCCCTGATGAAAAAATGAAGCCCACATACACTTATTATTATAAGCTAAAGTGGCAACTCTGTTGAGTTTGTACATTTTCATCATGCACAAAGGGCTACACACACAGGAGGAAGACTTTTGTTCCTCCTTACCATTCCTGAAATCCCCTAGCACATGCACATTATGCACTTCGTGTATCATGAGAGATTTTTTTGCGTACACTTTTTGCTTTCCTGACAAGGCTGCCAAGTTGTTTGCTTCACAAGCTCGCAAGGGGAAAGCGCACTGTACATGCTTGCATCTGTAACACGATAGTGGCACCAAACAAATGTACTCATACAGTGTAGTGACATGAAACGGGGCTTTTGTACCACGTCAAGGCCTCTCTTTTGCTGGCGAGCTGAAATTTCCTATCCTGGCATGGAAGAGTGCCAACAAAAGGAACCCCTACATACTTAGATTTTGTGAGAGCGACTCACTCACCGCCAAACGCTGGTTGATCCGTGCCTGCCCTGCATATTGTGCCAGTATGGTGGTGCGGGCAGCCTCTGCCTGGGGGTTCTTCAGTTGGCCAAGCACCACACCCTGCAGCCACAGCACTGGCTCCGCTATGTCGAACTGCACTGCCGGCTGCGCTGCTCTCTGCTCCCACCTGGCCAGCAGGTCGTCCTCCATCCTGCACCATTTTTATTTCAATGAGTGGGGCATAGAAGAACTGAAAATTCAAGTAAAGTGTGTTGTGAAAGCTACTGTAAAAACTTGGTATAGTCCGAGTTTTTTTCTAGTTTTATAATGTAAAATTTCGGTCCTGGACTATATGCGGATCCGGATAACTTTCAGTCGAGAATTCACAGCTTTGGCAGGTCGCAGCGCTATCATCATCATCGTCGTTGCATCATCATCATCATCACCATCATCAGGCCTATGTGTTAGTGCAGTGGTTCTCAAATGGGAGGTCCAGGAAGCCATACCTAAGATTCTAAAATCCCCAAAACCCTCACCCCCTTTTTTTTATACGTTTCAATATTTTTTACCTATGCTTCTCTGTTTAATTGCAACTGTGCCATATATTGATGAACTGTTTGAAATGAAGGGGCACATTTGATGTTTTTGGTAGAAACAAAAGTCACTTGTTTCACGCTCCAGTTTTGTGAATTTACCTACGTATCCCCCCTCCCTGTGCTCCTAGGGGTCCCCCATCACTTGCACCAGTCCACAATGGGTGCCCGACACATTCATGGCTGAGAACCACTGTGTTAGGGAGTGCTTAGCATTAGTAATACTTCCCGACAACTATGTAAGGACTGTTCAAGTGGTATTCGGCTGCCTATAAAAGCAATGTGATCTCTGCTGTCAAAACCATTGGCACCTGCACTGCAGCGTGACGGTTAGGCGTAGACGAGCAACACATTCGTAGTTAGGGAAAATGGAAGGAAGCCCTCTTGGTGTGCAATAACCCGAGAAGTTCCCAGGGCTGAAAAAGAGAGTGTTTTCTATAGTTGGATGGGAATTGAGGCTTCGGGAGGAATAAAGCTCCCATAGATCCTTGTGCTTGACACTTTTCACTTTTTTGTGCCACCTCCGTGAAGCAACTGCTGCACAACTCCTGCACGCTAAGGACGTCATTGTCACGAGAGGACATTCTGGCTGCAGCCACTTGATGCATGCCTAAATAAGCTATTTAACGACACCATCAATGGCATGTGTATGGAGGGCTGGAACTGACCCCTGCCAGAAGGCTGAAACAGGCCTCACCAGCAATGCTGCACCCATGGCTCACCAAAGCTTGGGTCTGCATTCCCAAGGCGCTCGCTTATTGTGCCCTCAAAAAGAGCTCAATTTTGAAAGTCCTTGATAGAACTGAAGACGAGGTGCTATGAGAGTGTGTGAATGAATGTTCTTAGTTTCGGCTTTCCTCGGGCTATATTAAGAGTGAAAACATTTTTCTCGTATTTTCAATTTTTGAAATACACCTCGTACTATATGGGGGTTCGAACTACATATGCACGTTTTTGCTAGGTGTGGAACTGAAACTGAGCTAAAAATTCACCTTGTCTGCTTCTACTAGTGTTTTGTCTTCTGTGCAGTCTGAAAATTATTTCAAGGACAAGACAATGAACAATAGGCAATTTGCAGTTACTCTTGACGTCGTTTCAACTATGCTACTGTGGCAATCGTACAGCTGAGCTTCCGGGCAGGCAAATGCTTTTTCACTTTATTGTGCATTCCTCTATGCACAGAATGAGACAGATGATATAGGTAAGTTGTTAGTGATCTCGGTATGAAGAGTAACACCCTCTAGATAACTCTTGTAGCTGTGCTAGCCCCGAGGAGTTGAAAAGTTGTTGAAGTAGCAAAAGCTGTATTGCTGCAAATCCTGTTAAAATAAAAACATCTGAAAAGACTTAGCTGCACAAGTGTACCACCACATAAAATCAAGAAAGGCGGTAAAGAATGCCTCTTGTTCTGATATTTGGACATGTAACTCAAGTGAATATCACTGTTTACGATTCTTGGCTTTTGTCACAATATGGCTGTTCAATCCTTCACTAGCATGCACTGTGTGTGTGCCCACTACAACAAAAACCCATTGGTTTCTGTAGCCGGCAATTTACTAGACATGATAGTAAGGCTTCACTTTGACCGGCGTGTTGTTGGCCACTTGGAAACTGGTTGTTTTTGACAACGTTTCATCAAAGGCAGCACATTATTTAATATTTATTGTTTACTTTATATGTTTCTGCTAAGAGGACATGGTTGTCCATTGTTGGAGCTGTTTGTGTGTGTAAGTGTCAGTTTGTTTAGTGGCGAAAGGTATACGTTTTTGGCACTTTTGAAACCTGAAAACCCACACAAGCCCATTTGTCACGGCTGAATCAGTGAGCCTACAAGCCACTGAGTAGGCTGATTTTCCTCGTCACATTCTGCCAAACAAAGCAAAGACAAATCCCTGAAGACAGTGCTTATTTTGCTAGGCACACGGAAAAAAGTTTGAGAGCTGATGGGGGTGCGAAAAATGTTAAGTTGCTCTTCACGCACTTGTGTGCACTGAAGTTTTTCACACATGTAGTGGCGGCGTGTGCCGCCGGTGATAGAACGACTAGACAACGGAACAAAAGCCCCTTTATTCCAACTTGCGCATGCTTATATACATAAACAACACTGGCGCCACCAGCGGCAGTGATCGTCAAACCGAAACCAAACGGACCAATATACAACACATTCCCTTCCTTAAAAACAGCTATATGGATTAGTGATTTAGTAGTTTAGTGTGTTAGCACATATGCAAAAAAACACTATACAAAAATAAAACCTGTACAATGAACGTAACTATTTAGTACTACAAAATCACACAGTTTACAAAAGGAATCCACCGCACTGGATACCTCCGTTTCATTCACTTTAGCACAACTTCTCTTGCTACACCTAGTAGCCATAACGCTCTGTTGGTAGTCTCTTTCTTGGTGGTTGCACCCTGCGTTGTGCGACTGCTCCTGGAGACTTGGCTGACTGCGTCGCAGCAGGCGACCCGTGCGCCTGCGCAGCCGAAAGAGACGTAGGTGCCTGTGCAGCGTACGCAGAAGACGTGGGTGCCTGTGCAGCGTACTCAGAAGACGTGGGTGCCTACGCAGCCGAAGGAGCAGCAGCTGAAGTCCTGGTAGTTATCTATAGGGTGGGGCCCCCGCATGGAGGCAGAGATCCTCCCCCACTAGCTGTACCGTTTCCTCCCCACGTATAAACGGTGCTAGAGGCTCGTGGCACCTTTGAGAACTTGGATGCATTCCACGTTTTGCCGTCAGCCAGGCGAAAAGGAGATGATCCCTTCCTGCTGATCACTTCTCTTGGGTGGCTGAATTCTAGGTTGCCTTTAAATCTAGTTGTGGGTTTCTTCACTCTGACGAAGTCACCAACGTTAACTCTGGTTTCTTTGCAGCCCTCCGAGCGTCCGTGTATCGTTGCTGCTCTGTTGCTTTTGCTTTACCCGCTCACGTAAGCGCCGGAGTTCCGAGTTAATGTCATCAAAGAAGGTTACCGACGGATGCCCGACGACATCCAACCGAGTTCTTGGCAGCCGCCCGTGTAGCAGAAGAGCTGGAGCCCTTGCCGTTGTAGCATGCGGTGTGCATCGGTAAACACACAGATACTCTGTTACCGCCTGGTGCAAAGGTCGCTGCTCAAGAACCGCCACTTGAATGAAGCTTTTTAATACTCTGTTAAAGCACTCCACTTGGCCGTTTGGTTGTGGATAGTATACGGACGAATGTTTGACCTAGATGCCGCGATCTTGAAAAAATACCTCCGACTCCCGAGAAGTAAACTGTGAACCGTCATCGCAAATAACCTCTTCTGGGTAGCCTTCGCGCGCGAACACAGCGACTAAGAAGCGTATTACTGTGCTGGTTGTCGTCTCGCTACAGAAATGCACTTCGGGCCATTTGGAATAATATTCTACAACCGTGATTGCATATCTGCAATCGTAGGGCGCCCTCTCAAATGGGCCTACAATATCCATGCCGAGTTTGAGCCACGGCAGCTCTGGAAAGGGGACCAATTGCAAGGGTGTAGCTCGCACCTTGACTCTCTTGTCTGCTTCCTGGCATATGCTACACATCTGGATAGCTAGCTCGACTTGGCGGTCCATGCACGGCCACCAATACTTTTCTCGCAGCCGCGCTTTTGGTCGCACCACTCCGGGATGCGACTCGTGCTGCAGCGATTACCTGCTGCGTGAGTGACATGGGAACCAGAAGCCGTTCACCACGCAAGATAAGATTGTCTACCACAGAAAGTTCGTCCCGTACTTTGAAGAATGGCTGAAGCTCGGCCGATAACGATTTGTGTGCAGGCCACGACAATTGCACATAGATTTTGCTTTGTTGCAGTGTGCTATCTTGCAATTGGGACTGCTCAAACTGTTCTCTGGTAAAGCAGGAAGGAATTTCAAGAACTGATACAACCTCGTCAAACAGCGTTTCTTCTTCCTGGAAAGAGGACACGGGCAGGCGCGAAGGTGCGTCCGCCACTTGGTTTTGCAACCCCTTGCGGTACTCGACTGTATAGTTGTACCGTAGTAGGCGCTCTGTCCATCGCGCTACCCGCAAGGGGCGCCTTCCTGTTCCTTGGGTTGAAAGCAATGCCACCAAGGCTTGATGATCAGTGAGCAACGTGAAGTGAAGGACCCAAAAGTACACGTGCCACCGCTCGCACGCCCAAACACAGGCCAACGCTTCCCGCTCTCCTACCGAATATTTCCTCTCAGCTGGCGAAAGTACACGAGACGCGAAAGCAACAGTGTGCAGTTTATGTCCGTCCACCTGCTGTAGGACCGCTCCAACTCCACACTCTGATGCGTCCGTCGACACTAAGACTGGAAGAGATTCATCGAACATTCTCAGTATAGAGCTAGATGCCAGCGCGTCTTTGGTCTTTCTGAAACTAGCGTCTACCTCGTCAGACCAAACGAATCGCTGCCCCTTTCTTAGCAGGACACGCATTGGTTCAACCATGTCAGCGAAATTGGGAATAAACCTAGAATAGTATTCGACCGATCCCAGAAATGATCGAAGGCCTGCTGGATCCGTAGGCGTTGGAGTGTCTCGGATGGAAGCAACCTTTTCCTTCAATGGCACAATCCGATTGCCTCTATTCGCTCTATCACGTCCATTTTTTCCAAGCGGCGCAGTTATTCCGAGACTCGTGGCTGCATTGAGAGCGGAAGGCGCCCGAGTTTTGAAGCAGCTGGCTGAACTGTCGACCGTGTTTTGATGCAATGAACAAAACCCTTTGCGATGCCAAGTCCTGGATTGAAAAGAGCGCCAAACTCTTCAACTAATTCTGATGGAAGGTGAATGGACTGCTCCGCTTCTGTCATGACTGCGGTCTGCTCCGTTCGAGCGCTAGTTTGCACCGCTGTCGTTTCACGGCACAGTAGTGACGACCCATCGATCTGCAGACTGAGCGCCCTAACTGCATCAATACTCAAAAGCGAGGTACCTTGTTCAACGACATAAAAAAGAAGCTTTGTTGTGCAGTTATTGTACGTGACATCAGCAAAGAAGCAACCACACACTGGAATGGGTTTCTTCGAAAAGTTCAGTAGTCTAATTCGAGCAGCTGAAAGCTGCCGACCTGCAAAATACTGCCTAAATAGGTCATGCGTCAAAATCAATACTGATGACCCTGAATCCATGAGGAAAGTTAACTTCGTTTCCCCAACTGCTACCGATACGTAGATTGCGAGACGAGTGGATGTCGTCACGGCAAGAATTCTCAATACTTCTGTTATAGAACTTTCGTCGTCTAGTTCACGAACAAGAGCGGCGTTTCTGTTGTAGACTGAGCGAAAATGACCCATAATACCGCAACCATGACACCGCTTGTTTTTGGCGGGGCAGCGGAATGAAGATGCGTTGTGCCGACGTGAACCGCAGCGGTAACACTGGGCCTGTTGGCTGCGCGACCGCTTCGAGGGGTCGCTGGCAGAAGATGCGGGAGGAGGGGTGTTTTCGCGAGCATTTATGCTTCGGACATCTGCAGTAGCAAATTCTTTGCAATCATTGGTTGCCTGCTCAAACTGCGTCGCTATTAGTACAGCTCGAGCGAACGAAAGAAAAGACCCTTCAAGCAGCAACTGCTCGCGCAAGTTCCGAGATAATATGCCCACAACGGACTGGTCACGCAAGGATTCTCCCTGAGAAGGAAAGGAGCATGTAGCAGAAAGCTCACGTAACGCGGTAATGTACTCATTGATTGTTTCACCGATTTGCTGCACGCGCCTACCGAACTGGTGCTGTTCGACCACAACATTTGTTGTTGTCGTGAAGTGCGCATGCAGCACTGCGACAGCGGTATCGTACGACGACGCTTCATGCTGTGTCTGAGAAGTGTATTTGACATTTCCCGAATCCGTATCAGAAGTTGGCTCACCGGACTTTGCGTTGGCCGAAGACTGAAGCGGTAGTGTGTAAAATATGCACTAGCCTTCTACGCCGAGGCTGTGGATTAGGAGAGCCTTGCGACAGTCCGGCGCACAGTCCGAAACACTAGATGCGAGCAGAAAATTCTCGAAGATGCGGATCCATTGTGGCCAGGCAACAGCAGGGCGGCCAGGCGTGGGCAGGAACAAGGGCGGTGGTGCCAGCCCGGAGACACTCATGGTGCGGGAAACAGTCGGCGAAAATGACGAAAATCAGACCCCTTCCTAAACAAGCACCCTCGTCGCCAATGTAGTGGCGGCGTGTGCCGCTGGTGAATGAACGACTAGACAACTTGAGTACCCATCGGAACAAAAGCCCCTTTATTTTAACTTGTGCATGCTTATATACATAAACAACACTGGCGCCACCAGCGGCAGTGATCGTGACACCGAAACTAAACAGACCAATATACAACAACACACAAAATTCATACTGAACCAGTTGATGCAGTGAAGCACTGCTAATAGAATAAAACAAGCTTCGTTATTCTATGATGTTCTTTGTGGATTTTATTGCAATTTATATGCACTGACTCATTCTGCTTGCGGGTGCGCAAACATCCCCCAAAAATATCAGGCAGGAACAACTGTGGAGAATGGGGTAGCCATAAGGTTAATACCATGCTTGGTAACATGGTGTCCATTCACAGAGCACACAATAGGCTACACTTAGTTGTCAGTCATGGAATAGCAGAGTGCTGGTAGACAAATGAGAAGGTGTCTTCACTTGCACTTCGCTACTCAGAACCATCTATGCCAGGCGGCTTCAGGTTAAAGAAATCAGATGTTGTCTTTGGACAGGAGGGTGTTTGCCCTCTCAATCCACGCAGAAGCAGACGAGAGGAGGGTGATTGTAACTATGCAATGACCTTTCTCAGTAAACGAATTTCCAGAAGCCATTTGCTTCTTATACAGCCATCTCCACTATTTTCTCACTCTCCATTCTTTTAATTTTTTTCTCCCCCCTCCTTTTTTTTTTATACCTATGCATTCTATATACTCTTAACCTGAGTCAGCCTTTGTTTTTGTTATTTTGTTACAGTGAAAACCCTTATTGCCATACTTTGATTCGTACAGGCACGAAATGACCATGCTCATCTTCTCTACAATTTCTTCTTTTCCAGATGTCAAGACAACAGACTAAACCACTTCTCAGTTCTAAAACTAACCCACTAACGATGACAGACATACCTTTGACAAAGATTGATTGGCAAATTGAAAACATTTGCTACCATCTCTCGTATCCCCATCCTCATACACACCCCTTCTAGAGCATCCTTTGTACTTCCAGCAATTCTTTCTTTAAAGCAGCCAATGCTTGATAACATCGGATCACATTTACATAGGATATCATTTATTAGATTTGATGTGTAGAGTTTAACGTCGCAAAACCACCATTTGATTATGAGAGACGCCGTAGTGGAGGGCTCCGGAAATTTCTACCACCTGGGGTTCTTTAACGTGCACCCAAATCTGAGCACACGGGCCTACAACATTTCTGCCTCCATTGGAAATGCAGCCGCGCAGCCAGGATTCGAACCCGCGACCTGCGGGTCAGCAGCCGAGTACCTTAGCCACTAGACCACCGCGGCGGGGCATCATCAGATGGCCAGACAGTGCTATAGGTTCTTTTCTAGGTTTGTTTAGAGAGCTGTTTAGAGCCTTGTTTAGAGGGCTGTGAAATAATTTCTTTCAGTCAAAGCCTCGAATAAACCTTCAGTATCCCTATCTAGAGTGCATTTTCTGATTTAGTAAATAATAGGCTCTGAAAGTTGAGTTTGTTGGTTTCATGTGTATAATAAGAATTCCCTGTGAAAGACAGTGACAAAGAAAGGAAGTGTACAAAATGATGCTGGACTCTACTTTTCTAGTCCGATTGCTTGCATGAGAAATTCTTATAATATGCCCACAACACATAATGTAGTTACACTGGACAAGAAATTAACTTTGCCTTATACAAAAATTGGTTATAAATACATACTCATAACACTGTATCTATGACAAGACTATTTTTCACTTTATTCGTGATAACTGGTAATTTGTTGTATTCACATTCGTGTCACCAACATCTACGTATACACTTAATTAAGCTCCAAATTAATGGTTATTTTTACAGCTGCAGCACTGTGCTAAATCGAAGTGCATAGCACTCAGTAAAGCTGCTTTAAAACTGATTCTTGTGAAATCAGGTTTTTAGAGATGTACAAAAGAGAAGCACTGACCTGTGGAGAAGAGCAGCACCTTCCTCGAGGACTGTGCACATTTGCAATTTCGTCAGAAGTTGGTTGAGCTGCTGCGTTGAACCAAGCTGGGCCATTGAGGAGAACCGACTGCTCAGTAGCTCCCTGCAGTCAGTGCAACACATTTGCTGCTTCTATGCTGTACTATTGCCTGATTGAAATCTTTCATTTGTACAGACTCTATGAAGCTCAAATTACCAGTGTCATCAATATCTGCAATAAAACAAATGTAATTCGACATACAGCACAAACTGCTCATAACATACGTTTCTAGAGTCACAAATATATGCACAATAAGTGGTACTGCACTATAAACAAAAAGCATTTTTCTTAGGCTGCACATGTGCAAAACATCACTAACAGGTAGCCGCACAATTCAGACCACTCAGGCACGCAACTGGAATGTAAGTTTGTATCTGCTTAAAGGGACAGTAAAGTCAAACAACAATTTACATCAGAGTGAAACCTCAGTGTATGAAAACATTTGAAACGACAATATTATTAACTGCTATGGCCCCATTTACCGAAAAATTAAGGTAACTGCACAAGAATACGTGCGCCTTAGTAAGACATTCTCAAAACGATACCAACAATGTCAGATGAACCACCTACAATTAATTACTAATAATAGATCTAGCTGCACTAAATAAAGAACTTCCCATGCATCAAGAGACGCAATAAAATTCTTCTTGTTCGTTTCTGTTTGATTCATAAAAAAAAGAAAACAACACCGGTGGTTACTACAGAAAATGGCATGAGTAGTTCAAAAATTAAATTTTCACGTGGTGACTGTTGACATGTCGTGCCATTTAGCGGAGCCCAGTTGAGCCAAAACATGTCTGCAATCTCGGAGCCAATGGCATAAAATTGATCAATGGCCGTTGTTGCTGCTGTGGCTCTCGCTGCTTTCGTTCTCTCTACTAGTGTCGGCAACCACGCAGTAAAGCCGGGCGACGTTGTGCACGACAACAGTGATGTGAGTTGAATCGCATCTCGAGGCGGGTAATTTCAAAGCACTAACCCGAAGCGGGCCAATTCGTGATTTTATAATAAGCCCTTCCTTGGCACAAAGGTAACACTACGAGGTTTTTGGAGCGCTATTTCAACAATCAACGTAGACTTTATAGTTGCCTTCAGCGTCTCTTTAAGTTTTGAAAATGTTGTGAATAATTAGTATCAGCACAACTGCGGTGCCGACATAATGAATGTGGGGGGGGGGGGGGAATTTGCCATAATGAAAAGTGGCCAATTAACATATTGGACCACCTTGTTTTATGCAGACTTCACCACGGTACTAAATTGCATAGAAACTAAACAGTTAAATCCCTTTGTAAGAGGCACGCTAGGTGAGCAATTCTGCAATTCTTGTCTTTTATATGAGATGTCTCTTATATTACTAAGTAGGGTACTTAGTATGCATTTTCTTGACACTCCGTATTTTACTGTAGGCACACTACTGTCTCATATCTATTTGTCTCTTATATGAGTGTCTCTTACAAAGGGTTTTGGCTGTACATCAAATGGCTATTCGAATTTCCACACATTTTCCATTTTGCAGGCGCGTGCGCAATGGCGGAAACAGTGGCGACCATGAACAACCGCTCTTGCACACACATGCTCTTGTTTTCATTGAAAATGCAGGTCACCCCTTCCAAATGCAACAGCTGCAAAATGCTCCACTACCTCAGACCACACTGCAACTTTGACAGTTCACGTTACTGCTGATGCAGCTATAGCGCTTGTTAGGCCTGCTGTGTTGGTTGCAACCAGGCATGCCATTGCGAGAAGCTTGCCCTAGACAACACGGAGGTCGGGCGTAGAAGACATTGAACACACAAGCTGAACCGACGACAGCACAAGCAGAAACAATGCTTCTGTTAGTGGTCAGGAGAATAGCTGCAGCAACTATCCTGAGATAAGTCTTCCAAGCTTGTAAGCCCACCTGTCAGTGGTCAAAAGGGAAAGCCCGATCCCGTCTCAAAACATTGTCACTTACAGGGGAATTGGATGCTCATGTGCAAAATATGCGCTCTATGACAACACAACTATTTTTCTGATAAATGACCAAAGAGACAAACAGCAGTAGCGCACTCTTAATGGGCATGCAGGCACCTGTTTGGGGCAGGGCACATACGACAAGTGGCCGAAGCAAAGGCGGCAAAAGCTTTTCCGTCATTACTGCAACTGCTGCCCCAACTCTCACCACGCACCTGCGTTGAGCCCCACCTATCACCACCCCCTTCCCTTTTTAGGGGCGAAGCTCCTTAGGGCGTGGGCTATGCGTCCCCTGTAGCCTGTATGTAGCCACCTCTAGTTTAGTTCTTGCAGTGTTCACTAGATGGCGGAACCGTCTCCTGTATGTAGCCACCTCTCATTTAGTTCTTGTAGTGTTTACTAGATGGTGGTACTTGTAGCTGATGATGAAAAGATGCAAGATGTTATAAACTAGAAAGCGGTACTTGTAGTTGATGAAAGACGCGAGATCTTATAAAATAGGAATGATGTCACATATGGCGCGTGTCATTGGTTGAAGGCAATCGTTCGATTTAGTGCGGCGACGTACGCTAGGGGGAGCGATGTAATAAAATCGAGTGGGCAAAATGTACAGAGGATTCATGGTTTATCAGGTTTACCTCCGGAGCTTCGCCCACTCATCATCATTCACTTCGTGGATATGGCGGAATTTTTTTTCCCCCTTCCTCTGCTCCTGACTGATTCGTAACACGTTCCGCTCCTTTGTAATTCTTATCACTCTCTACCTGGCCAGTGCTTCTCTGCTGAGAAGCGCAGTTGCTCCCTTGTTTCTCTGAGGAATTTATGGTGACCACTGTATAACTGATCTCGCTCTCTACCTGGCCAGCGCTTCTCTGCTGAGAAGCGCAGTTGCTCCCTTGTTTCTCTGAGGAATTTCTGGTGACCACTGTATAACTGATCTCGCTCTCTACCTGGCCAGAGCTTCTCTGCTGAGAAGTGCAGTTGCTCCCTTGTTTCTCTGAGGAATTTCTGGTGACCACTGTATAACTGATCTTTGAAGTCGGGCGACTGCACAATAAGGGGTACACATGTACATGGAGTACTATGGTAGGGTAAACAGGAGTCAGAAAATACAGCATTATAGCCGGTTCTGCCCTTCAAGTGGTTATGTTAAAATGGTCTGTTGGCTTGTGAAAATAGTGATTTTGGCAGAGTAATTCTGATTTGAATTCGAATAGCATATGCTACATATAAAAAAGTGAGCCTATTTGTCATGACCCAACTAAACGGCACAATATTTAAAAAAAAAAGTTAAATTAAGACATGTGCACATTCCATTCATTTTTTTTTCAAAGTAAGTGGAAACAACCTTTAATAGAACGATTTGACATTTAATAGAATGCAAGTGGTAACCTATAAAATGTGTTATATTTTAAAATTTATTATACTTAGTGCATTAAGGCCACTACAACAAGCTTTTAAACTTCAAAAATACTGAATCGATGTGAGAATAATAAGTTAATTTAACCTTTAAAGAAGGCTTTGCAGCAGCACAATTTTTCCCTGCATGCATGTTTTCACAGCTTTGCACCACTTACTGCCGTGAAACTACTTCTACAATGCGTTAGATGCGGACTTATATACTCTTTGATAGGCACGTTCATGATACAACACCCATCCACTACAGCAAAACCACCTTTACAAATGGCTACACCTATTCGTTCATTTGGAATGCTTCTAAAATTTTCAACTACCTTATTCAAATCGAAGAGCATTCAAATACAGTAATATTCGTTCAAACATTTGGAACATTCTAATATTCCCACAAGCCTAATGGTCTGCACTGTACGTGATCTTTGGCAATGTGCAGCTGAGGTCAATGAGCTACAGTCCAAACACAGCATATTTAGACATGTTCAATGACTCGGGACATTTTCGTTGTACACAGCTGATCACTCCATAGACGCAATGCATAACAATGACGAATCGCAGACACAACTGGTGCTATCCATTAGATATTACAGTTTCCAGTCATGCCCATCATTTATAGTTGGTGCCTGCAGTGGCTGCTGACGCCAGTGCTGCCATCAAACATGCTGAGTGGCACAAATGCCTTTTAAGATGGTGCGTTCTTTAAAGTGAACCTTTAACACCTCTCAGCTTGCATTTTACATTTCCAGTTTCTGTAGACTGAATTATAGACAGATAAATACAGCAAGAACAGTGATAGGTGTAACCAACACTGGGCCTAAACCTTGTTATAGGAACAGATGCACCCAGACAAGAGAGACTACACAAAGCTGCGGAACCTGTAGCGTCTCGTAAGCCAGTGACGGTTTATTGTTAGAGCTCTCAAAAGGGGGCACAGCCCAAGATTGCCAGACAACTATGTAATGTCCGCTGCACCTTCCTTTCTTGGTGAATGTACACAGGTCAACATTGCATTTAGAAGATCTGCTTGAACTGCTTGTTGTAGAAAGAAACTTCACCGGGTGACATTCTCCGAAGAGGTGATGCGTTAGAAGAGCTTTCTGCTGTGGTGGTTGATTCTACTGGGTCAGTCATAGGGGCAATGACCCAGCACTGCCGCCGTAACCCTGGTCAAATGTTGGAGGCACTTCGGAATTCATTCTAGAGCCATGACAGTGTGTGTGCACGTCTCTTGTTATCTCATCATGAGATATGTAGGTTCTCAAAGTTGAAGTCTTCCGGTGTGGGTCAAAGCTGCTGTCTAGTTTGCCTGTATTTCTCATGGTCTTCTATGAGTATGCTGTAGAAACAAAGTGGAGCCTGGTCATGCAACCTTCACTCTCATGAACCTCTCTTCTCACTCCTCAGATGAATGATGTCTCCTGGCTGAAGTCTTGAAAGCGTTCCTCTTGGTGTATCACTTAGACATTTCTCTGTAATCTTTCAGCTGCAAAGTGAATTGAAGTCAGGAAGACCACGCGTGAGGCAGTAGTGCACAAACAGTTGTGCACTACTGGTGTGCGAAGAGGACGCCCCACAAACAGGTGTGGCGTCCTCTTCGGTCCTCTGTTCGGACATTTCTGGAGCCAGCCATACTTGTTCAGCTCCAGAACATGCAAGAAGTGCTTGGAAATAATGTCTGTTTTTAGCATTTGCCTTTC